CAAATAAATAAAAAATAAGTACCTAGGTATACAGTTTTCATCTAAAAGGGAAAATGTTTTTAAATATTTTTAATCGTTGTATTTGAATATAAGAGCTAAAAATTTGCAACAATTTTGAGAATGAAATAAATAACTTTAATGATTTTCTTATTTTATTTTATAACTTTAGTTAGTTATAAGTTACTTAGGTATATAACTATGTATTTCATTGTTATTAGTAAATATTGATAGAATTTGTATAATCAAAATAATAAAGAAAATATTTTAAATTATCATAATATTGTCAGTGCTGTACCAAGGGGAAGGCAAATAGAGCACACGCCCAAAGCCTCCCGCCTCCAAGGACCTCGCACATATTATACAATAAAATAATATATTGTGTAAATAAAATATTTCCAAACATTTTAGCATATAATATTGTTAAGTCCAGGGCCTGGCAAAAAACCTGGGAATGGCACTGAATATTGTTATCATTATAAATTAAAATAACAAAATGAAATCGTTTGTAAACAACCTACATAGTGTTATGATCAGTTATTCATGGAAAAATAGTAAAATATAGTATTTAATACGTAGCCCGAAGTAGGTACTTTTTTTTATAGAACTTCTCCAAAAGTTTAAATAATAGCGTAAGCAAGCATACCAACTATAGACAGAGTTTTCAACTTGAACTCATTGCCATAAAATATGACAAAACATTTGGTCGCTTCAAATTTCTTCAATTCATCAGGCCATCTATCAAATTCTTTACTATTTCTACCACAGCGTACTTCTTTGGCATCTTTGAGGTCCACTAAAAAAAAAAACAATCAATTACACATAAAATGTTCATTGCACAGGTAATGATGAAATATATAATCATTTATAGTCGTATAGACGGAACTAAAATATATAACAATTACAAGAGCCATCAAAGGTTTTATTATTGCTACTGCTTGTCCTTGACCATAGAATCTGTCGTGTTTCCTTGCGTAGCTTTAGTGTTCGTTTCTCAGGCCGCTTCTTCAAATAAAATCGTGTGACGATTGTGCCTCGTTCTAAGATGTTCAGAATCTGATCAAGTTCCGAGATGAACACATTTGGTGTCAGTAATGAGCCGCAAGCCATTTTTGAGATATTAGTTCACTGTTTATTCTGCATGAAAACATTAAACAAGTCGGTTTTTAAAAACAAAAAAAATGATTTGAACATCCGGATAAAGTGTTGTCTTTCCACTCTTCAGATCGTGTTATCAACACTATTATGATCCACTTTATTTTCATGAATGAATGATAAATATTACTATATTAGAAAACAAACGCTTATCAATGATTACAAAAATGGATATCAAATAAGCTGATGGCCAAGTGGGTAATGCTCTGACGATCAACAGCAGCTGTAGACTGTAATTCTATGGTGCATATATATATATAGTATATATACTATATAGTGCTACAACAGGTAGGTGCCGTGTGGATCACTAATAATTCGCTTTAAATTATTATTGTAATAATGTAATGGAATATGGATCGGTTATATTTGACTTCAATGACATTATATCAATGTGTATTTGTATACGAAAAACGTTACTGAGTGAAGGCTATCAGTCATCCTATATTAGAAAGTATATTTCCAGTAATTTAATTTACTAGTAATACAATTGTGTGTTAAATTAATTTTAATCAAAAAAATTTCATTTTGAATGTCAWCGTGTGTATAAAATATAATATTTAATTTAAAATTTTAATTAGGTTCTCGCAAATAGTATTTTCAAATTGCAATGAAATAACTACAATATTAATTTTTCAATAAAATATCAAATTATATCAAACAAAAAAAAAAATTTAGAAGACCGTTTGGGTGAATGATTTGTTAAGCCATTTGAGGTTTCCGATTGGATGAGTGTTTATTCATCAAAAATACCTTTTGGGCGAATAAATAAGAATTCCATCACCAGAAACCCTCCAAGGAGGAGGAGGTTAAAAAGAAAATGGCAAAGAGACGCTCTTGCTTAATAAAAAAAAAAAAAAATGGACAAATTGTATAGATTTTAAATATGCCTCTTAAATAAAGAAAAAAAAGTATGAATTGGTTTATTTGTAAATTAATTTATATCATTTAATTAGTTATTTACAAGATACATAAAAATAATTAATAATCATCTTCTTTTTAAAATAATTTGCCTGACAGTCGCCAGGATTTTATCTTATGCGCGTAAACATAATTTCACTTACCCAAACGGCGGTATTTATGAATTATATAGGGGCGATAGAATTATTAGGTTAAAACTATTACCAAACGACTACCATTCTAACAATTATTGAATTATCTTGAATTTTTCAAGGTTTGGTCGCTGCCTGTTGGGTAGTGTGTACAATGTACAATGTACAAATCTAATAATTTTAAGATTTGTGAATGGCGTGCAATTGATCTAAGATCTAAATTCTAAATACCTAAATATTAATGACTAGATCATTTCGTATAATATTATTAAATTACTATAACAGTTTAGTGTAAGAGTGTAACCGTGTAGGTATTTCAACTCATTTTATCTTTTTTAGGATATTTGAACTTTTTAATTTAAAAAAACTGCTGTCTTTAGTTGAAATTAAAATCAAATAATAGATTCTCTTAAATTCTCAAACTACAATATTATAAATATAGGTACTTTCCTATGCAATGGAAACTAGTAGCAAAGTGGATACTTAAAKGGATTGAACTTTTGATTATTTCAATAAAATAATAAAAGTATTTTATATATTTCAATTAAAATTACGAATCTATTTTTTTTTAAATGATCAAAGTTGTAAAAAGTTAAGAAGTGAGCCTACAGAAATTTACTTTTGTAACCATACTTTACACCAGAAATTATCTGCAGAATAAAAATACAACGATATTAAAATAAAAATACTAACTACAGTATCGACTCGAGTGAACTGTATGCATATYGGTATAACCATATACATATAGGTTTATAAAATGTATATTGTTATTATTACAGTCATATAGTTTTAAAGTGATTATTATTTGGTATGATAGTATGTGTATAATATGGCTATACCAAGTAGAATGGAACAGAATTCCGTTTGTCGTAAGGTATATATATTTAAATTATTACACACACATACACACACATATATATATATATATATAAAGAAATTAGGTATGTATTACTGTATTGCCATTTATCTACCTATAATGTACATTAGTAGTATAACATACAATATTATTCTATATGATAGCGCCTGTTACATTTAAATCACAATAATAGTTATTTTTTTACTGTTAAAAACCTGAATTTAATATATTTTATCTACCTTATGTCATATATTGCATTAAATAGAAGTATTCTTTTTTAAACAGTTATTATGCGTTAAAAATATAACGGTATCTTAGAAAAAATATTATCAAGTATTGAATATATTTATGACACACGTTATTTATATTCACAAATCACAATATTAGATTACATAGGTGTACGGTGTATACTGCATATATATATATATATATATGTAAATATGTACCTACTGTCATATATGTATTTGGTACATAAAACGTAACAAATAATATGTTGTTTTAATTTTAATCAATTCAATATTAAGGCCTATATTAATTATGGAGTACCTAACTCATTTAATATAATATGTATGATTTGCATTAATAATGTGAATTGTAAATAAAAAATTATAATAAACGATTGAAATACTAACCTATATAATGATGGTTATACGTATAACACCACATTTAGATACTCATACAGTCATACTTATAATCATATTATTATAATATTATGTAAAACAGTTATACAAAACAATAAGCATTTTATATATTTAAAAAATGTATACCAAAATCAATTCTTGTTTACATATCTATAACAATAGTGGGARTAGCACGTTAGCACACCTGTTATTTATTATACTGTTACCTTAACTCTAAAGTATGCTATCCGTGTTAATTATAGAGATGGTCGATAATCGATTACCAGTAAAGTGTTTAATTTAGTTTTACGTTTTTACACGTTTTACGTGTTAATACTTTATTGGACCTCAATATTTAGTGTAATATGTGTAATAATAATAACATGTAATAAAATTGACCTTCGTGTGAAAATAACGGCGTCGTCTGCGTCATCTAATTTTCGAAAGTTTTCATTTGTAAAAGACTTTAATAGTCCGTAAAGAACATTTATAACGACGCAAATAATACATGCGTATATTATACAATAATAATACAAGTAGGATGACTAACCGAGTATAAAAAATTATTATGAGTAAGTTGTCGAAAACTCCATTGCACAATTATTAATGTATAGATAGAATTATTTAAAAGTTGAAATTGTAATAGATGTACAGTAAAAATGACGTTTATATTTTGTGACATGATATTTGAACTTTTTTTTATATTTCATTATTTTACATAGTAC